ACTGTCCGTGAAATTTGACGACGACGATTAAGCTCTTATTAATTACAGCTGATCGTGAGGCACTTTTTTCGATATATCAAGAACACTAACCGAATCTTGACCTAGGGTTTCAGAATCCTCTACCTCTCCCAATTAGCAGTGCAGAAACAGCCGCAGGGTGTGAACGACCCATCCCATGGCACGGAACAGTCGTCCAGGAAGTTTGTAAGATATTACTGAAAGTTGAAGGGATAGAGCGAAGTTGGGAGCGTGATTGTCTCTTGCCAGGCGCATAAATCTCTATTTGCGGACTGGCTTCATCCTCCGTAATGATGAGAGATGGACAGGCCGAGTTAATAAATGGGACGCACGACTGGAATGGAGGTCGCGGATTGACGAGTGGATACTTTTTGTTGTTGTTTGCTCATGGACTAGGGAGTGTCTCATTTGAGGTAAGCTCCTTTTCGAGTTGTAGTCGTATCCCTTACTATGGAAAGGCTGAAACGGGCGTAACCAACGCGCAAAAGTGGTGTGTGGAGTGCATGCCCCACACTGGTCTTGTTAGCGTACATGTCGAGATAAGACTCAACACTGCTATGGTTGCATGTGTTTCATTCTTTTTTTTTTCATGGTAAATTTATACTCAAAGCCAAACACTGGAGGGCGCACTTGTAAATGTATTCTTGGTTTGTTACGGTTGATTTTTTGGATAATTGTGCTTCGAGGGCATGACAAAATGCCCATGCTGATGTTACAGCACATTTCCTCGTGTATGAGTACACATACTTTTTGTGCAACGCTTTTTGAAATATTATGTTCGCAAGGTTACTGAAGAATTTCTGTAAACTTTGTTATTCGATGAAGGTAAAAAAGTTAATTGTCTACCAAACCACTCAAGCCCAAAGTAAGATTTGGGTTAGCAACCGGATGCAGATGTGCAGAACTCAAGTCAAAGTTCCCCTTCCGCGGCCTTTGATAAAATGCATAAACCAGCCAACAAAATGATTCCTCTGAAATATGCCCAATCGCCTGAGGGTTTAGCCTTCGGATGAAGAGAGATAAAGGAATTTGTTGAATGGTAAAGTCAGACTTTAATAAGGATGAGAAAGTCTGTCTTTATATCACTTTTCTCGTGCCGTTTACATGGACTGAATTAGGAGAGGTTTCCACCACATTGTAACTTTTATGCGTACGCAGAGATGAAGGTTGTCCAAGACAATAGAAATGCGCATTTAAAGCATAACCAGATTGAGACTAATACAGGCCTATAATGTAATTTAATGTGGATTCAAAAGACACCGCACTTGTCATCCAGGTTTAGGTCTGGTTCGGTCCTAGCAGTTTTAACGTCGTTTTTCATTGTCCTGTAATCTATGTGTATTGTTATTACATTCAAATGGCGACTTATTGTTCCCGGGGGAGCCGGCTTGATCGGGTTTCACGTTTCTGACTCGCCTCTTCCGCGAAGGGCTAGGTGGCCAGTCCGTCTTCCTCTTGATGGTCTTGGAACAAATACCTATCCTCTGCCTTCACGAAAAGATTTGTGATGTTACTTATTCGCTACGCTCGGAAGAGCCGATTATCTTTGAGATCAAAATCCTTACTTGTCCGTATAGTCAACATTTTTAATTCTAAGTACGCCGACTGGCTGTAACATTTTATTTTTGTCCCTGGGGTCCAATCTGGTACGACAGTGGGCAGAAATGTCAGGCTTAGTGGTGCGAGAGGAAAATAAAAGACTACCGTCTTGAGCAGGGAAGACGACGATCCCATTACGAAAAAAACCTCCAGGCCAAAATCCAGAAGCTATTAATATTTAGGCACACAAGAAAAAAAAACCAACCAACAAACAAAAAAACCAAAACAAACAAAATTAATTTTAGCTATCAGACAACTGAACAATTACGTGTTGGTGAAGCCTGTTTTTCCTGTAACTCATTCGTCATTTCACTTTCTTCATCAAGTTGAAGCGGGGTGGCATTTAATATTGTTTCCGTTCAGTGTAAACCTAAGAGGATCCACCGTGAAAACGTGTGACATTTGGGTCGTGATATCTGCCTGTTTGGCTTGCAAGACTTGGTAAAATAGAGGTCGACCAGATATACGATCAGTGGCAGGCTGTTGGGGGTTGCGTGCCGTGCACCGTGTGTACATGACCCCCTGACAGCCGTCTCGACGCCCGCCGTTCGCGGCTCGGCCTGAAGTCATCTCAAGACGAACCGGATATGCGGTACTCGTAAGCGTGCCCCCGCCAATTGCGACCCCCATGCGCGCTACATATCGCCGGGGGCCTAAAGCTTTATGTCCGTATTCGTTCCACTCGTTCGTTTACTTTCTGTTTTCTTTTCTTTCTTTCTTTTTTTTTTTCTTTATTTCGCTCCTCGGCCGCGTCTGGCCCGCCAGGAACCATACAGATCGTCATATTTCGATTTAGTGAACCCCGGTTTCCATTATTATCCGGAGTTAACCTGGTCTTTCATGAGCAGCGGCAGTTAAAAGATGCAAGGTCTTGTTGCTTACCGGAACATCGAGGACGTAATAGCCCGACTAATCGTCAGTTATGCCCTGGCCCCGTGTTGCCGGCGGTGATCGCCTCGCTGTGGCAGGTTCGTCTCCCTCGCTTGGTGAAAATAAGCCGCTCTTATTGCTTAGTGAAGAATTATACCCATTAAAATGGTGTGGAGATTGTTACAAATGGAGTTGTCTTTTGGAATTGATATTGATTCATCCCCTTCATTTAGGTCCAGCTCATCATTGTTGGGCAATCTGTATTCATTATACGTGTGCCTACGCTTGCAACAACTGAATGAATTAAGCTAAAAGGCTGTTCATCTTTGGGGGAAAATTGAATTTTAATACAACGCATTATTATCAATCTATGACGGAAAAATGAAGAAGCTTCACAATTTAATATTGGCTGGCTACGATGTCTTAACTGAAATTTATTCTTTCATTCTAACAGTCACAAATAGTTGTCTTCCCGAGGATTGGATAAAGAGTTAAAAAGTACCCTGCTGTTATCGACTACATTTGCATTGTTTAAAGTTTTCGACTGTTTAAAGCATCAATTTCCAGATGTATTGTTCTTTTTTCATGTTATTATTTGTTTTTATTTTCATGAAAATATGAACAGCGAGGTTGCGATGGTTGCGTTTGGTACTTTTCATGGTTTTTATGTGTGCGGAGAGAATTTGTGTCGTCATTCGACGGAAAATAATATTGATATTTGCTTCTCTCAAACTTGCGCGATTTGCATGACTATATCTCGAACTCCAGTCTCCATGCACCCCCCCCCGAACAGACGCTGAGCTGCCTCAGTTGATGACACCTGATTGATGGCGCGTTGGTCCAGTCGGCGCCTCGCTATCTACCGTGGCTTGATGAGAGAGCCATGATGATGCGCACTGCTGGGCCCTAGGCTTTTCTTTCGAATTTTTTTCCCTGCTTAGCTTTTTCTGGTATAATATCACATCCTCATCCGAGGTGTTGGCGCCTGTCGACCAGTCGAGAGTGCCAAAATCCCCTTGTGGGCCGGGAACCGATTTGAAATCTTTCTTCCTCGAAACGCCATTTCCCTTTTCTTAGGGGGGGGGGTGGTTGACATTACACCAGCTATATAGATGGCCGTAAGCAGCTCAGCGCAGTTTGAGTGCAAAACTGTTTTGGAATGACATGTAGGTTTGTCAAGGTACTTGTTATTTGCCGCCGGACAAGACTAAACACATCAAGGTGTTGGAAGTCGTGACCTTCCACACGCGGTTAGTAGACGGATAGATTTGCATTTTGCGCTGCGTCCCCCGAATACATTTACATTGTAACAGTTGCATGGTGTAATGGGTCCATTAATTCGGTATAACAGGGGCAATTTATAAGCCAAATAAAAACAACCACCCCTTAAAAAAAGCGGGTTTTGCGATGCAATCAAATAAGTGCAAATGTATTCAACAGTATTAGGCCTACTCAAAAAATTTGTTTTCTTCACAGGCCCTCAAAAATGGGCAATCGTGGTTTGACGCATTTACCTGTTGTTGGTCAAAATGTCATGGGCCTGTAAATTCCTCAAAAACCCGATTGTCTCTTATTCAGAATTTATGAACATTGCCGCGTAAAACAAGCCAACCGCCAGGTACAACATTTTCTCTTTTTTCTCTCCTTTTATGTCAAGTGTGACTCCATTTGGGTCAGTTAAGGGCCAGCAACGGGGGTATAATCAACAGTTGCGCTGCTAAAGAAGTGATAATCGCCGACACGTCAAGTTGGAAATAAAGCGATTACAAATAAGTCGTAAATCTACTACCCCAACGCGTTCGTTAAAAAGGGGGTAAACGAGAATGTTATTATTAGGGGCCCCATGCATATTGGTTCAGGCATTTTTCACTGAGGTCAGATCTATACACCTGACATTAACAACACCATTGGGTGATTAATTAAGCATGTGCCATTGTCAAAGGAACGAAAAACAGGAAACTTGGTGGGAAAGAAAACTGACAAGGTGTTAGTAACTGCTAAGAGCAACGGTGTACGCGGGAAAGGCATGATCGCAATAATACATCGGGAACAAGGTTGATATGAATCTTGTTTTGTTTTAAGGCATCGCATTAAATTGGATTATTAACTTTTGGCCGATTGGTTGATTTAAGAAGTGTCCTTCTTATATGTGTTTCTCAACCAGGTTATAATTAGGAAGTTAATGTGTCTTGCAATAAAACAAGACAGAGGGGGTACCTCTTGTGATCTGAACACATTGATTGTACATTACCTTCCACCGAAAATGTCTCAAGTTTTTTCCTAATAATTTTGTCCCAGGGTACATTCTTGCGGGTGCTCCTTTTGAAATTATTAGAAAATACCTGATGACAGGATAACAAGGAGTTTCATTTTACGGATACTGTGAGGCCACACCGGCTTCTGCGATTTTCACTCTTGAAAAGTTAACAAGTCATCAATAATGCATTGAGCTCAGAACTCACAGCGAAGCTGACATAGAAAGCTACGGAAATGAAGATGGGGTGAGGGCTTACCTTGTTTGGATGAATGGTACCAACCGATGCTTGCTGAACGAGAAGGCTTGTCTGACTGAATGTTCTTCCTTGACTCGACAGCAGCAGATGTCTTGGGCTGCCTCGACGCCTCTTCTTGACCAACTTCTTTCCCTCACTGCTGATGATGCTCTGCCGCTGCTGCGGGTGACGTGCTCTCTCCCAGGACCCTGCGTCTAATGAAAAGTCGCTGTTACCCGTCCGTGCGGAACCTCCGATTTAATTGCCTTACACCGAGAAAAGTCCCCGCAGGACACGGCGGAGGATGGGGCTCGCCCCGTTCGGCTACTCCGATCGCCTGGCCAACCAGTGGATGAGATGGGCTCGATAACTTCGAGATGCGCGCGTCCAGGACTCCAGGGAGTCTCCTACCTCATGCGTGTAATTGAGCGATAAATGTCCCGTCAGCGGAGCTGTGCTCAGTCGTGCGGTTTTGGGTTTGTTTTTCCGAATCTCTCCTTGTCTCTGATTTCCTTGGATTTTTTTTCCTTCCTCTTTTTCCTTCTCTCTCGACAGGGCCGTAGATGTGTCAAGAGGCTAATCGTTTCGCGTGTAACTAATCTAATCCGGCCTGTGTTGACTGTAAGCGAGCCGGGTTTGGTAAACACGTCTCCGATACGGGCCGTGGCCGGGAATGAATTAGCTCACCCGGCCGGCTCAAAGCGGCGTTACACCGGGGAGAGGAACGGGATCGAAGGGCGGAAATCGCATCGCTTGGCCACATTGTTTCGCGTATTGCTCTGCAGATCGTCTTTCCCCGAGTTACATTAATAAAAATGCAGCCCACAGTGCGCACGGTCTCTGTGATTCTTTATGTCGGGATTGATTCTATATTCCTTTCAGGGTTGGCCTATAATGACAGTCTACTGAAAGGTCGTATATAGGCGAGAATCGACTAACTACAAATGACTGCTTGAACTTATTTATTCATTTCACTTGAAAAGATGCCTGATAATGATAGATCCTCGTTTTCCATTCCATTTTATGCATTCATAGAATATGGAGCGTTACTTGGCTGTCAACGCTAAATGCGTATTGTGATGGTCGGCGGGTCTGTCTGCATGTAACGAAAGCTATGGACTTTGTACAAGGCTAATTGATGGTGTCAGAATGCCTTTAACGATTGTCAATGGTTCTGATGAATCAACGCTGGCAATTGCTCCGTCACGGAACCCACTGGCTCCGCTCTAGTTATCGTTTGGAGGGAAACGTTTGTTTTTAAATATTCTTTCGGTAATTTTGCTATCGTTATTGTGTCTAAATATTTTTTAATTATTTCTGATCTTTCCATTTTGTAGTTTTCTTTTTTAATAGTATAGGTAATAAAGAAATTAGCCAGGTGTGTCTTATATGAATACATTCATCCATTATGAGGGTTTGTTACGGCACCCTTTCTTTTAACAAAAAAATCCTCCTTTGGGTTGTTCCACTCTCTTTTTTTCTGAGATAGGAGATCGCTGGGATTGGAATTTTCGCTTCTAAAAGACCTTCAGCGGCATTTTACGGATATTCAATTGTGAGTCCTGCAGGTTTATTTATTTATTATCTTTGGACTTTATTTTACTCTTGATTGTTTTATTTCTTTATACTCAGTTTTCACAGATCCTTTCCTATCGAGGTATTCTGCTGGGGGGGGGGGTTGCAGGATCGAGGAGGGGGATTGGTGCCCCCGATAAGTGGGTTACTTATCTTACTCAGTGCGAACTCCGATTTACGCAAACTTAGACAAAACAGGAAAAAAAGACATGGGCCTAATTTGATATTTAAATTAAGCATCATTGGCAGAGCAGTGTGACCTTAGCCACCGAGTGACGCAGTAGTCATGATTAACACACTCATCTACCGTATGTCCTCGAGACACCCAACCAGATCACCTCAATTCAGGCGTGGTAAAGTGAGCACGTGTAATTCGATTAATTACTCAAACTATGCGCCTCGCGCCGCATCTTGAAATCCAAGGTCATCATAGCCCTGTTCACGGCCCACGCGTACGGTGTAGCACTAAAATTGGACACGGTTCACTGGCGAAGAAGTCCGCCCCTTTCCCTGGTGGTGAGCCGACGGGGCGGTTGAGATCTGCCGCATTGTTGGAGGGGAATACTCTACCCCCAATTGGGAATGGAATTAATCAAACCCGTTCAAGATGCTTGGCAATTCTGGATGCATTTTTTGGTCCAAGCTTTGCGCTATGGATGCCAGCCGATACGGGTGCAAGGTCAGCCTGTGTTGTTTGTGCCACAAAGCCTATCGGAAGTAGGCCTAATTGGAACTTGTGAATTGGGAGTCGTCATTCAGCCAGAGACGCCTCTTCACTTTTGACTTCTAACTAAGGTTTCAAGAGACAGCATTCGATCCGTTTGTTGGCAGCTGCTTCAGTCAGGAGGCATAAACATTTCCTCATGTTGACACATTTTTTGTAGTGTATTCAGTGGCAAAACGACGACCGAGGTTACACTCCGGAAAGAAATGAGACTCGAATTATTCTAAAATTAAATCAGATTTCTGGAAAGATCCAGAATGAGAAATTCTACAGTCATGAAAATCTTGAACGTTAAATAGAAATGATAAACTCCTTCGTGTTGACAAGATAAACTTTATGTCATTAAAAAAAAGATTGGTGACGGTACACCCCAGAAAACATGAAAATATTACAAAAGGTGGAGAAAAAGAGATAGCCCAATCCCGCTTGCCTACATCACGGTGTCCAGTTAAAAAGGTCTGTGAAACGTCCGAGCCATTTGAATCAAAGAATCTCCACCTTTTGACCTAAAACGCGTCCCTCCCTCCACTATTATCCAGTGTACAAGAGAACGAAAAGGTTTATCAATGCTTTGAGTCAAGACATGATTCGATCTATTGTCCAGCGTTGCTCACCATGTACATGTACATCAGCACATAAAAAGCTTTCCCCCTGGTTCGAACTGTAAATTGTGTAAACTCTACGGCTGGCTGCACAACTACTTTCTTTTATTCACGTGCACGGTGCAGGCATATCAAGTCACACTTAGAGACCTGCGATTGGCACCATCACCAGATCGTACGGTGAGCATACTGTCTTAATTAATTCTCACAAGTTCAATAGGATTTGCATGTATAAGCTGACCGAAGAAATATGCTATCATCAAGTTATCAAATGCGACTGATATGACTGCACGGTGTTGGATACTTTTTGCACCACCAAGCAAGTTTTTTGTGAGCGACTAACTTGAAAACCGCAGTTCACCGTCTCTTGAAATGAAGACCACCTTTACAACCTTGGAATAGCATGCGTGCTTACTCATCGAAATCCCTTGGCCACCACAGGAAATTAGTTTGTTGAGAAAATACATGCATTTAGAATATCATTAGGGAAGCATTGATTGTTAAGTTTCCAGATAATTTACCTGTTTTGTAAAGTTCTACAGGAATTGCCATTGTTAAATTCATTTTTTTGAGAAAGAAAAATGTGATGACAGAGGCAGGATATAAATTACGGTTAAACTTGAAGTAAATTTTGCTATATACAAATTAAGAAATTTATAAATATAAATTAGCAAAAATGAGTTACGAAATAAACAATAAAATGGAAGGAGTATGTATGAAATAAACAGACAAATAAAATAAAAATTGTAATGAAAAGTGTTTCTCACTTTAAATGAAAATCTGTAATCAGCACCAATCATGAAACAGAAAATATAAGTGCTTCGTATCGATAAATTAAGAGGGAATATGGGACCCGTCACAATTGCGATTTTTATGTCTAATGCGTCAATCTTGAGCAGTCATTTCTTTAAAGAATGAGAGTTTACCGTAAATTATTAAAAAATTAAATTATTAAAATCATTACAGTTTAGGCTGCGTTCTTAAAAATAATCAACCCTTTTCTTTCTGAATAGGATGAGGTCACACGAGTGGTTTAATAGTTAGATTAGTATTTCGCAGAAAGTGAAGGCCACACTAATTCATACGTGCCCGTTGTTGATATGCATAGTACAAAATAGGCAAACTGGATGAATTTTTTTAAGTGAGGTTTGGGGGGATGTTTTAATCCATTTTTAATGCAGTCTTGTTATAAAAAGTCTGGCAAGGATTGAAATAACAATGAAGTTTACAATTTTTTTTTTATTGCCAAAGAAGTTGTGTCAAGTGTATAAAAGAGCTAGCAAAAAAGTTAATTTGTAAGTTGTACCATGCAGTTGTACATAAAAACAATGTTTCAACAAGCTTTTTACATTGTGTTTTTATTCCCAGAGTTTTGTGTGGCTTAAAAAAGAAATATTCTGCATCATTTTTATTTAAACTTAGACATAAAAGCGTGAAGCACATACTCACTTCTCTTTCCATTCAAAATGACCGACTAGTTAACAAAAAACGGCAAAATTAATTCAACAACCTTAATATTAACCTGGTTGACCAATTTTCTGTTACTGAGCATGCTAAAGTCTAACAGCAATTTACAGCACGAAGCCGATCACCTATTGGTTTTGTTGTGGTCATTTTGTTTTTCTGAACGATTTTTCTCCTCGGCTTTTCTGTGTGTAACGTGTAAACTTGAAACTTGGAACGTATTGTACATCAATCCTGATCCCTGGATGTACACACTAAATGACATCGAAGACGTCATTAGGTACTACGTACTCTGCATGTGATTTGACATGCATAACTTCTATTCGCTGTATCTCCCGAACAAAATGAAGGTATGAGGTTTACTATTTTGGTATCCGACAGATCTTGAGTTGGGCTGCCATTGTTGTCCTCGGAGTCAAATTTGTCTGACCTTTGCTTCCGAGGCCAATGAACGATCAATGCTTGGGTAATTTTGTAAACTCTTCAAATATTCAAATTAAAACATCTGTCAATTTCAAACAGTTCTGATATTAACTTGAAACTCTGTTCTAACACTGATGACCAGCTGTCCATATTCTTGTGACGTCACTGTTATGTCTGCGGATATAAAAATTACAAGCAATCTAAGGTCAATATTAAAATCATTATTTTTTACTCACAATGTTTGATACCACATATCAATACTTCTGATCGTAACACAGTCACCTGACCTCAACTTCCGGGGTCACCAGTAATACAATGAAATTTGAATAGAAGTCAAAGCGGAAGGATTGTTCTGTAGCCCTTTGTATTTCTAACAAAAGCTGAGAGCATTTTGCCTAGTGCTAGACATGTACAGGGGTTGATAATGTCATTGCATAAAACGATGGCCTCTAGCGACATACCAACTAAACTAAACACGTCCTATCTAGTTCGTTCTACTTTGCCTTTGTTATACCATGTTTGCCTCCTCCCCCGCTGCTTATCATGCCAAATTATTTCACAGTTCTCAAAATGAATAGCTGGCACCTAATTAAAGTGCACTGGGGCAGGAACTGTAG